CTGCTGAGCTCGCCAGGATGATGATCTCTCTGCATCGATGCCTGTGTTGGACATAGTGGTTTGACCTCACCCAAATTTAGGGATGGCAGCTAAACTTTTTCTGTGTAGTACTCAATTTTGTTTTTTGCTGCAGGACTGGCGTCTCACTGAGTAGTCTTGCATGTTGCCTTTGACGATTCTGTTTCCTGATGTGTCACTTTTAAGTTGAGACTTCTTTTATCTGGCCTTTTTTTTTTTTCTTGCCAAAGCAGATCTCTATCTGCTGCCAGGGGTTTTATGGCCCAGGACTGGATTAGTGCAAAAGGAAACGAATGAGTCACCCACAGAACTTGTCAGCAGGCTGGGAGGGAGCTCCACGGCGGGGGTGGATAGGGCGGAACAGTAAAATTTTTGACCTCACCCCTCTCTAGGCACGTGTCATTCTGAGCAAGCTTCTTTCAGAGAGTGCTCAGGAATTTTTTCCAAGTATGTTAGTTCCAGAGTTTCTTTTCTCTGTATACTAGGAGAGTATATTTTTGAAAAGATGGTTGTTTCAGTTCTCGCTAATATGTGATTCCACTGTTTTAAGGCTAATTTTGCAAGTCTCGGTGAATTTTTTCACTTGAAAAGCACATTGTGCTCCAGACGAAACAGGACGTTTTGACAGTGTACGGCTAGAACGCGGGTCACTTAATGGGGCAATGCAGGGAGGGTAAGTGAAATGTGACGTACGCAGTGTGTCAGGAAAAGCCTGGCTGGGCTGCAGCATCGTATTGGAACGGTGATTTTTATGGAATCAAGTTGTGTACCGTCAGTGTGCTGTGGTGCTGATTTCATGTGTATAAATGAAAACTACGAGAGTGAGGTTTTATAGAAGAGGAGAAATTCAACAGCTCATGACCTGACTTCATTAACATCAAGTGTGGATTCCCACTTGGAACAAAATTAGTTGAGATGGCTTGAAAATAGTGATCTTCAAAACACTGAAGTATTCTTTTAATACTGACTGACAAATTAGTGGGCTTTGCTGTGCATCCTGTGCACTGGGTTATTTTGAAAGGTGATCCAAGTGACCTTTCCAAAGGTATCCATGTTTTGCAATCTCTGGAAGCTGCAGCTGTTGCAAGCTGTTTTGCGGTCTCAGTGTAGCTAAGGCAGGACTTTTACTGGTGCGTTTTAAAGGAGATGGTGGAACCAGGAATTCCTTACAATGCTGTTAGACCTGTCTCCCTGAGCTTGTACAGGCTCAATACAGAAGAACAAGTGACTTGCCCTATCGAAGTATCTAATTTAGGAGTCAATGCAGTGATAGAGGAGGCAGCCATGGGAGATGAATTTTGTAGATGTGTTGGATTTTTACTTAAGGCAATCTCAAGTGAAGCTTATGTCAAGTCAGGAATTCATTTAACTGTTCTCTCTTAATTAGTTTATCACCCTGATTTATTTATGCTGGTTGATACAACTGTCCTTCACTTACATTTTAAGCACATCCTTGCATGTTCATAGTATTTTGAAAGACATTCTTCTCAAATTGGCCTCGTTAGGCTTTACCAGGCTCTCTTGCAGTGAAAGGCGGTGTGAGAGGTGGGGAGCTCACAGTGCTGTTAGTTATAACTTCAGTCCTGTCTGTAGGTGCAGAGACTGTCACAGCTTACTGAACTTGGTTGTGTAGATAGGCATCTTGATTGATGATTATTCCCTGATAATTAAGTTAAACAACATCAGGAACAGACTCCCAAGCATATCTAGTTCTTTTCAGACATGAGTGGCTCTTGCTAGGCTTGTTTGTGCTGCTGTCTCTGCTTTTTCTCCTCCTCTGGTTCCTGATGGAGCTATCGCACCTCATTCCTAGCGTTGATGTGTTGGATACTTCTGCTCCCTTTCTGAGGCCAGCCACATAAAGCATGTTGTAATTTTTTGGTTTCTCTCCATGTGCTATCTCACTTTCTAAGTATAAAAAGTGGGTGGTTAATTGGCTGAAAAATTATTGTTGGTTTTATAGTGTGCATAGGCCCAGTCGCTATTTATTGTCATCAGTCTGATAGAGCTCAGTTCTCTCAGGATTTTGAAGTGCAAATTTGCTTGCTGATACATGGAGGAAGAAATCTTGAAGTATTTACTTGGGGAGATCAGAAGATGTAGACAATAGGATTTTTCTTGTTTTTCATTTTCTTAATTAGAAGCCTGGTTTTTCTTTTTAAGCTTCAGCTTAACAGTTAGCAGTTGAAAGTCATGGGAGGAAGGGGTATATATGTCAGTAACCTTTTAAAAATAGGGTTATGTGCTACATAAACTTCTTATCCTTCTGGAAACCATTTTTTGGACTTAAATACAGTGCTTTACACTTTTAATCACTCCTTAGCTATTAGTTAATTAAATACTTCAGTAATATTCCTTTGGGGAAGGTAAGGTGGTGTCGTTCCTGTTCTGCAGATGAGTTGAGCTACTGAAAGTGGCTTGGCCAAGGTCAGACCATGAGCAGCTGCAGATCTGAGAGTAGGACTTGAGTTGGCAACTGCCCTGCCATACTTAATTTACTGGAACACATCTCCAGGTGTCCTCTCTTAACAACTTGGTAAATAGTTTTTACAAAAGACTCTTAAAATAATTGGGTTGAAATTCCCTCTTTGATTTGCTTGAGGGAGGAGAAGTGTAACCATAATGACCTGATCTGCTACAACAGTGCAAATAGCACTGGATGAGGCTCTTCCAACCAAATTATTGGTGCTGAAAAGAAAAATGTTTAAAGGATTTGTTTAAATATGACACAATAGCTCTTCCCCTCACGATGGTGTATTTTGTAATGCTGTAAGCCTCCGGTACTCTGGATCCAAGCTCTGACCTCCCATGCCGAGATCTGTTGACTGCTGTTTTTATTTAAATAGCCTTGTTAGGTCCTAAAAAGTTCATTTTGAAACTGTTCCTGTAATGTAAGTCTGCAGGTTTCTCTCCAGGACATACTGGTGACTGGGAGTGTATGTTCAAATGGGGGAAAACCAGACCAGTATTTGCCTGAAAAAAGACTTTCTTGCTTCAAGTTTTACACGTGTTGGACACATGTGGATGCTGTAACTTCAGTCATTCTGTTCCTGGTACATCATAGTTACAGCAGATTGTAATGCATTTTAACAAAGCCTTTGCTTTGAGATTCAGTAGTATACATCAGAGTTGTGACAAATGTGCAAGCATTGACAAGCGTAAGGACTTGAGTATGATGTGTTTAGATGGGACGCTTCCATCTGGGGTGAGACTTAATCCTGTAGTTGTTACACTGATAAAATATTCCAGGATTCATTTTTGAAATTTGTATTTCAGTCAGTCAGGGTAAGAACTGTGTTAAGGTCGGGGGAGGTTATTGAAAACATCTTTGTTCTTGCCTCTGGCAACCTAATTAATGTATTTTTTTGGCATTGAAAGCTGTTCTTTAAGGAAATAATTGCCATTCTTTGGGTGATTTTTGACTTCATGTCAGTGAAGAAGGTAATTTTGTAGTACTTAATTTGACTATTTTAAAATGAGGATCTCATTAAAATGTTGAGTGTGCCAGAAGTTTGGGGTGTGAACTTCCATGCATGTGTGTGTTTCCCCTAATTGTATTCACTTGAGTGTGCCACGTTGACCTTTCTGCTTGAATTGCAGGTTTGTGACTTCTGGCTGCTAGTTTGGATTTTATTCAGCTGATTTAAAACTTTTTCTTTAAAAAAGAATTGTCAGTAGTGATTCTTTGGCTTCACGCTTTTTAACCACAGCGAAAAGCCACGTTGCTTATTTAGTATTTCAGCCTTAAATGAGTTCAGCTAGTTTAGGTTAGCTCCATTTTAATACCCCTAAACTTCGTGGTAGAATTACATTTTCCATCTATTATTGTTGTTGCTAAAACATCTATGTTTTGAATCCTGTGTGTTAGGACTGAAGGCTGCTGCTGTCTTAATGCCTTAGTCTGTAAACACAGATAAGCCTGAGAATAACTAAAAGTTATTATTGCTAAATGACAATTTGGTTGCTTTTGAAATGACCGATTTCTGGAGGATATCTCCCTACTACTGTTGGGAGTTTGGCAATACAACAATGTTGGTGAAATTTATCTGCTAGCAAAAGCTGAAATATATGGCACTTATACTCTTATTTCTGCTTGTACTGCTTATTTTGTTCGGAAGATAAAGCCACACCAACAATATTTTTTACATATTTGGGCTTAAGCCAACAGGTATGACTGTACCAACAGATACTTTCAAGTGTGTACTTGGCTTTGTGCTATTTTCTCTTCTTTTAGGGCACCTGGTTGGGAGGGAGGGGCTGCAGAGAGTACAGAAAGGTTTCCTTGTTCTCGGTTCCGGTGCCTGGCTGCTGGGAGCAGCGGTTACAAGAAGTCCCGTGTCTCTGGGCTAGTGCATACTCGGTGCCGAGAGAATATTCGGGATTACAACTATCAGGACTCCAGTAAAGATTGATTTTTGTTTGTTTGCTTTTAAACATAGTCTTATCTAGTCTAATTTGAGTTTCTCTGGGAGGGTCAATATTTGGTGTTTCTGGAAGTAACAATTTCTCTTACACGGTATTTTTTTTCTCTTTAGGTGTTCTGTTGGAATATACGTCGCACATTTATGGCGATTCTGAGTGTGAGGGCAGACTTCTGCCAGGCCCAGCACAGCATCCTGGCTGACAAGTGAGCTGAGTGCAGGGGGTTCCACGTGCCATAGTTACTTTGCCTTGAAGACTCCAGACGCAGCGAACACACCCAAATATATGGGATATCTTCTGCACATTGGAAGCATATTCCTTTTACTGACTCTAGCAAAACTAAGCATCAAGAAAACAAAGTGGAGAGAAAATCTACCCTTACTTTTTTGCCTCACCAGTGCCTAAATGTAGAACAGGCTGCCTAGTCTTGCATGTAGTCAGAATTTTTGGAGTCTGAAGGATACCACCTGCAGTAATTGAGGCCGAAGTTGAATTCAAGCGGATTCTGAAGCAAACCTGCTTTTCTAGAAGCGAATTCTTTAAGGAACAAACACGTCAAAGCAAGCTCTGATCAATCCCAGGCATTTTAGTGGTCTTTTTAATGTTTTCTGCTGTGAAACGTTTCCAAGGTTATTGATTTTTTAATTTTTTTTGGCCCCTTACACATTTTTTTGCCATTATGAACCGTCCAGCCCCCGTGGAAATTACTTATGAGAGTATGCGTTTTCTGATCACTCACAACCCGACCAATGCAACCCTCAGCAAGTTCATAGAGGTAAGGCAGTCCAATACAGTATCATCCTTCTTTCCTTATATGCCCATAGTTCAGACAGAAGTATTGAACACTCATTCTTCACACCTGTTGCTTAAAGCGTTGGTTATGTTACATGTTACTTGAAACTTAAGGCATTTTTATCTTTAATATTTTGTTCACCTTCTCTTGACAGTGTGAGAAGAGAATTCACTGATTTACTTTTCCAAAGTCCTCTGTTTCTTTAACTGTGAGAAGCTGGATGAGCTTCTGTTTTAGAATACAAACACACTCCCTTGCCATCATTTTTGTCCTGGTTTCTGAAGGACTGCATGTTCTGTGATTCTAAGCGTTATTCTTCATTAAATAATGCAGTGCTTCTAATATATTGATCTCTTGCTCATCTTTTGGCTTTTAAAGTAGCAGTTAACAGAATTGGAACTGGTTTCTAATCTTTCTTATCCCTTAGAGTAGGATTAAGTGCAATACTTAAACTGATGTTTTAGTGTACAGGATATGTTACCAAACTGCCCTACCAATCCCAGAACTGTCAGAGATTTCAGGTGCCAGAGTTTATCCATGAAAAATGCCATCTGTCTGGCTCTGACTATGGGCAGAGTCAGTTAACGACGGGCAGTGGAACAGACCGTTACTGACACAATAAGATCTAAAGTACTGCAAAATTTAATACTCAGTTTTCTGAAAAAGTAACAGATGGTATCATCAGAGACGTAGTAGTACAGAGTATTTCTGCGTTCTGCTTTGCTCCAAAGCTGCTATATCTTTGTGCCCTTTATATCTTCTATCTAGAGGACTTTTATCCTGCATATGCAGGTTTTTTTCATTCCAAAGAGATCCTGTCATCTGATACTGATGTCTGACCATGGCTATTAACAGACTTCCATCATCTAGCACGTGCTCTTCACCATGAATCTTCAGATATTAGTGGTTAATTCTATCTGAAGGCCACATTCTTTTGGTCTTTATATTTTCTTTCCATTACTGTGGATTTTCTTCCTTTTTCAGGAGCCTTGACTCTGGAATATATATTACTGCTAATTGTTAGAAGTTATAGTGCTTCAGTCCAACCATGAGAGGAAATTCTTTTTGCTGTATGAACCTTCAAAGTGAACTGGAACAGCTTTTGTTTGATCTTCTGATTATTTATCTAGCACAATGTGCTACTTATAGTGCATTACAAGGAAGCTAGAGTATGGTGGTGTGTGTGTGTGTTTTGTTCCTCCCTGCCTCAAAATGTCAACACTGGCTGAAGCAAACAGTTCCAGACTTCTGTATAAAGAGGAGAAGCTGCATGGAGAAGAGAAGCAGCTGGTTTAATTTTGCTCTTATACATGCAATTTTTTTTTCCACCTTGGCATTTCCTTAGTAGAATAATTCAGAGGTGTTTCGCATTAATTCCTGTCACTTATAACACTTGTCCTAATGTAGGCCATAAACTCCCCTAAGCTGGCCCTTGCTACTTCATGGTGTAGTCACCTTGGAGCTGTGCAACAGTCATGGTACCACTGACTCTGTGTAAAATGTTTAGTTTTGTGGCCAGTGAGAAAGTTTTTTCATTCTTCACTCTGTCAGCATGCTCACATGTTTTCCTTTTTCTTAAAGGAGCTGAAGAAGTACGGAGTGAGAACCTTGGTGCGAGTTTGTGATGCCACTTATGATCAAGCTCCTATCGAAAAAGAAGGAATCCAGGTTCTAGTGAGTTGCCTTTAAAACTGTCTAAAAATGAAAAATCACTTGTCTAGAAGTGGTGGGGATGGCCTTCACGCTTTGGGAGAGAGCTTATGACTGTTTCAGATCGGCCAAATGCAATGTCATCCACTGCCTCAGCTAAAGCTGGTTTTGAGAAACTCGCTGTACTTTTGTGAAAGGTACTTGCCGATTCATTGCTATCGCCTGAGCACTTAGAAATGTCTGTTCCTGGTTTTCTGGATTTGTTGAGATGTTTTGGTTGCCTTTTAGTGACTAGGTCAATACTAATCCAATGTTCAGCCTTGTGATTCGTACAACTCGGTTTGGTCCTTTTCTCTAGATAACAGCACTTCTTGGCTTTACTGTTGACCTTCTCGGGATGCAGATAAAACTCCCTTCCTCGCTTGTTCAAAAAGTGCCACTATAGAGACTATAGCTGATGCGTTGATATTGGCTGTAGCAGGATATTGATCGGTAGCCTCCTCACTGCTCACCTCTAAATGAAGGCTGGCTGCTGGTGGCTTCCCTGTTCAGCAGGTGGAATTCCTTAACTGCTACTCAGAGTTAACATTATGCAATGACTGTCTGACTCCATCGTCTAGTATCGCTTAGTGTTTTAGGGGAGGTTTTTTTAATAGGTGTGTGCTCATACTAAGCTTGCAGGCGGTGTTTTTCCAGGCAATGTTTCCGAATTATTATAGTGTGTCAGATAGTATCAGTTTATTTCACTGGAGTAATACTCTGTGAAGCCAGAAATTGCATTTTACTTTCTTGTTGCAGGTAGTCAGTCTTCTGTTGCCTCTTGATTTTTACAGCTCAGTCAGAGGAAAACTTTCTGCAGTTTTCCATTAGGAGAAAAACTTGTATCCTGGCATAGCTGCGAAAACTCCATGTACAGGTCAGTCAGGTTTCTTGGCTTCTGGCCCTAGTAAGCATTTACTCCAGTTCCAGGCAGCCACGTGTGCCTCAGTGTTGTTGGAAAAATCAGTCATTACAGGGCTACCAGTGCTCCTAGGGCTGTGCTCTGCAGTAGCATTTTGGGTCATCTAGAGCCGTCTTGGACTTGGACATCGCAGCATTTTCAGGCACACTGCTGTGAAACCTCTAGCTGTGATACTCCTAAGGTTGCCAGAGACTGGAAGGATTAAACTTCTGGTGTAGAAGCCTTCAGAGCCCTGATTTAAGCTGGGGCTTGGAGTATTTCTGTGTTCCTGTGCCAGAGCAGAGATCTGAGTTCTTCCTAGAAGACTTAGGACAGTTCTGCAGGTCTCCAGCTCTGCTGGGGTGGCTGCCTGGTGAGGCCAGCTGACCTTGGCTCCTGCAGCTGTGAGCAAAATCTACCTTCTCCAGTCTGGGGCAGCTACAGGAGCCAGGGGGAGTGCTCTGTGCTTCTGAAACAGTTTGGGGATTTTGGTTCTCAAGAAACTTTAAAATCTTGGTGTTGGCTAGGTTTGAAGTGAAAGCAGTTTTTTAAGGAAGCTTTTCTAAAAACTGGAAATGCTGTTTCCGCCAGCTCTGCTAAGCACTGTGCTGTTGGAAAGCCTTTCACTTTGAGTAACACGTGTGAGTGTCTTGTGTCTGTACACACTTGCCTCAGCTAACAAGCCTCTCTGCTTTTGGTACGTACCAGTTCTTAGTATTCCACTGCTGCAGAAGGCAAAACAGCAGAGCGCGTGAATCCACCAGGCATCTGTTAAGGATAACAGAAAGCAGGAGGTGACAGGGAAGGTTTGCTGTCCATGTCCTTGCTGATCCTGATGATCCCAGTCATGAGGTTGTCTTAGTAATTTACTGTATTGCAATGGCACTTTGTTATTTGAGATAAGCTTAACTAGTCACTGACGTGACCACCTCCTGTATAGCTTTTCCTTCCTATGAATGCATGCTTTTTCAAAGCAGAGTCCTGCTGCTGTTCAGAAATGGTATTGAATTACCAGCTGGCTGAGAAAATAACACGTCACTATTTAAAGCTAATATTTGCTTGCAAAAATAACATTAAGATTAAAAACACAGCCTGAGAGAGATTAGTGTCTATTTTAAAACTGTTGAGGTCAAAAGCACAGTGAAACCCCTGAAAATGAGAGCATTTTAGCAAAGCCTGCTCTCATGCCCTGATACAGGATCATGTACTGGCAAGATGGGTACAATGTGGCAGCTACAGAGTTGCTTTGGCAGATGGCATAGCCAGAAAGTAGAGAATTAGATGTTCCATGTTTGAAGTAGTACTATTGCATGTGCATGTTTATCAACAGAGATTAAATCCGGGAGGCGGGGATGGATTTAGTGTCTGTGGGCTTCTGTGGTTCTTAGTTACGTTCATGTGTAAGGTCTTGTAACATAGAAATGCTATACTGGAAAAACTGGTAGGTTTTTTTTTCTGGAAGCATTTTTGCGCTGGCTGGCAACCAAGAAAGCTGCAATGAGTTTATTAATCATAAGGATCTAAGACACATTTCACTGTTCTCCTTCTATCAGTCCTTCATTTACCGTTCATCCGTGGATCAGAGTTTCTTTACGCTCTGTGCCCTCCAGAATGGCCATCACTTGAATGCTAGCAGGTGGTTGCCAGTGCCTGTGTTAGAGATGTAACTTCGTTACCATCTGATATTTGCTGCATTGCTGCGGGCTCCGGTATTGAAGGTGGGAAAGTTCCACACTGGTGGCTGCGGTCTCATCCTACGCAGATGCAGGCAGTTCTGGGAGTCACTTCAGCGTGAGTTGCACACAGGTTTTGAAGAAAGAGTTCTTTGTCACTTTAAAGTCCTGTTACTGCTTCTTGGTCACCTCATTTCTGTGTTGCCAATCTCGCCGTTGCTGCTGACTGACAAACCCAGAGCTGTTCTGCTGAGCAAGGCTTCTCCAGATAAAGGGTAAATAAGAATAACCCTTTCTTGCCTTTCAGCCTTCCCAGCTACTGCAGGGTGACACAAAAGAGCTGTATTTTCTGTTTGTGCAATCTCAGTGCATCATCCTGGTTATTAATAACTGTTTTGGTCGTGGAGCTTAGCAATTTGTTTTCTATCCTGTCTGACAGGAATTCAGAGGTGATGCTGGCAGAACTCATAATCAGAAAAAAAACTGCAAAACTTTGCTGCAGTTACTCCTCTAGTCTCAGAATTATTCTTGTTCCTCATTCTGGGCAGTATTCCATGCAGCAGTGTTTTATCAGTGCTAATTTAATGTCGGTGGTGTACCATTCCTGAGAAGGTGATGCTCTGTGGGGAAATGACGATTGCGATTAATTCAGACCAGCACAAGAGTTGCGTAGACGTGATGGTTAACATGTAAGCTAAAGCAATGTAGTAAGCTCCTGTATTTGGCCTGAAGGAAAGGATTTAATTTAATCTAAAACTAGGGCACAGAACTGACGTGTAAATCCTGTTCTTTGCAAGACGGTTTCAAAAGAAAGCATCCTGCAACGGGTAATGCCTCTTCTCTTGGCAGCCCATACATCTCTTCCTGGGGCAGTGGATGACACTAGGTCTCAAATAATGTAGCTAGCAGTGTGTGATTGAGGGGAAAATCTCATAAAAGCTTTTTATTAGAAAGAATGAGTTTTACTTTATGATCTTGTTTCTATAGCCTTTTATTTTGCTGTGGTGTCCCAGATACTTTTAATTTCCCATTTGCTTTAAAAAAGGAGTTCTCTGCACTCTTCAGACTTTGTGTATATTCCTGAATTAATAGCATATAAAGTTATTTCAGTAACTTAAAGCTTTTTGGCTTTGTGTTCTGAGACACAGATTTCTACCTTGCAGCTTTTTTTAACTGCTAACACATTTCTGAGGCTGAGGTCTGTGCTAAGCTGTACTTGCTATTCAGGAAGTATTAGGGTAGCAATAAGTGCATTTCAAAATGAGAAGTCTGGTGGTTTTTTTACCTTTGGTTGTACTTGTTTAGAGTTCCTGCGTGCTTCTTTCAGACTTCAGAGAATATTACTTCATATTAACCCATTTCAAGATACTACATGAAAGCCTTGATTCTAGCCAATGAGGGAAGAAGAAGGCTCCTTTCAAAGCAATTTCTCTACCATTTGGAGAGGTTGTTGAATAATACGAAACTCTAGCTATGAGTCTCTCTTGTAAAATGCATTGCAGTCGTCTAATGAAAAGTGCTAAATAACTACCAAGTATTATTTTTTCCCTCGCATCTAGGAGTGCTCTTTCTACAGCACTCTGTGTGTCTGAAAAGATTATAAAGCATGTGATGTTGTGCTTGGTCCTGAAATGTAGGACATGTAGTACTCCGCTTAGCACAAGTTCCAGGAGAGAGCTGTGACCTCGAGAAAATGGAAAGCTTCTCACATGTAATTTTGATTTACAGCCATATTGATGATACTTAATGTGGCCTAGGTAGTTGAAATGTTGGCTCCCCCTTTAATAGGCAGAAATGTAATTGTAAATGCTGCTTAGCTGTTGGCTTTGCCTTTGTCTAAGCACTCTTTTGCTTTTTGGAGGGTTTTTTTGACTTGAAATTACCCAGGTAATTTTGACTGTTTTGCTTATTGGATTCGTGGCAGCTGGACAAGCTGATCCAGTTGAGTTGTTACGAAGTACCTTCTCCACTGATCCCCTTGAATTGTTATGAAGTAGCTTCTCCTCTGTACAGAGTCTGCAGTACAAATATTATTTTAAAAGGTTGACACAACCACAGGCAAAAGTCTACAGAGTTCTCATCTTTCAAATGTTTATTTGAAATGTCTATTGATTTTTACATATTTTTAATAAAATGAGACTTCAAGGGCAGCTATTTTTCTAAAAATTCTATACTACAAAGGAATTAGTTTAGAGTTTTATTGAAATTTTGTTATAAAGTACAATTAAATTGTTGTTAAACATTTAGTGTTGCATTATGATATTGATTTGCAAACTTCTGTGCAACCAGACAAATACTCACGGAACTGTTCGTGTAATACGCACTTCTTGCTGAATGCAATATTCTCCTTCTCCCAGTTATGGTTACCTTGCTGTTGATTAGCTATATGGATTTCAATCCATAATGTCCTTTTCTTCCTTCAAAGGACTGGCCATTTGATGATGGAGCACCACCCCCGAATCAGATAGTTGATGACTGGCTAAACCTGTTGAAAACCAAATTTCGCGAAGAGCCTGGATGCTGTGTTGCAGTTCACTGTGTTGCAGGGTTGGGAAGGTCAGTATACCACTGTCTTGTATTGATACTGGACTTAAAGTTAGTTTATTTATTCAGGAAGTAGGTCATGGAAGGTGTTCAGTAAATGCCAATTTCTCCATTTTGTCCTAAATAACACTTTAAAGCAGCGGCATCAAGTTTCTGTCATTAAAGCAAGAGGGACTTATTGCAGCTGAAAAATCTTAAGTAATTTCATAACCCTTGATCAAGGATGAGAGGAAAAACTTGGAGATATTGCTCAGAACACTTCTGTCAATCACGAATGACACAAGCAGTTAGAGATGCTATTAATTTGAAAGTATATATCTTTGAGAAAAAATGTCTTGTGTTTCTTGTCAAATGCAATATGCATATATAGTACAATTTCTGAGGCTGTACAGTTGTTGTTTTTAATTTCCTCCTGTTTTTAACTGGTGTACTACTAAGTATGTGGTAATGAAAAAAGCATTTAGAAAAACTGGTTCAATTACTTTTTTACTCTAAAGTGGCTTCACTTCAGTGGTAAGAAGAGTTGAGCTTGTATTTCTTGCTCACATGCAGACTGATGTTTCTCTCCTCACCACTCAAAATATAACTTCCTTCTTTGGTAAGAACTTCCTTTCAAAATGAAACAAACCCCCCCCCTGATTCGGGAAAGCTAAATGCTACATTCATATTCCTAACTGTAATCTCTGAATGTTATATTTATCCTATGGACCAGGAGGAAATGGAGCTTAAGTGTTAGTATTCTTACGATAACCACGGAACTGTTAATATTTAAGGATATGAATGAGTGGACAAGAAAGGTGGATTAAAGAAGTCAAGCACAGAGTTGGAGTGCATCAAGCTCTTAAATTTCCACCTGTAGAGAAGAAGAGATGGGGGAAGTGAAGAGGTAGAAGGAGAAATGGCCAGTATTTTAAAGACACAAATGCCAAAACCCCAAGACAATTAACATTTGTTTATCCATTTCTGCTCTATTTTTATCTGAGGAACACCTTTAGGAAGGTGGCCACGTGCAACTCAAGTGACTTTCAACTCTCCTGTTTCTTGCATAATACCAGGCCAAAGGGTACCCAAAGCTTCCCATCTTCTTTATGCCACATCAACTCATGTTGTGTATCCCTTTCTTACAGAATCACCTTTTTGCTGTTGTTCTCAGACAACTTCGGGCAGAGGGAAAAGCAAGAACTTGACAGATTTTGCTTTAATATGGAAAACTGTCTCCCTGTAGTAGGGAATTGAACTTCAGCTATAGTAAAAAGAGACAGGATTTTTTTTAAGTGACTTTTGAAGTTCCAAATTATTTCCTTTTGGAAGGAGAATAATTCTGTTTCTGCAGGTGCAGCAGGGCAGTGATAGTGAGAGTTGTTTCTCCTGAACTATGTTTTTGTTTAGCCATGAGTACAAGTTGTCCAATTGCTGGCCCCTGTTTAACCCTTCACTACTCTACAGTCAGAGGTGCCTGTTGCAACTGTGTGCATTTAGTGGGGTGAACATTGATCTGGGAGAAGGTCAGCGTGTACTCTGATTTCAAAACGTGGACCCCAAAGTAGAGTTTTACTCTGTTGTCCCTGGAAAGCCTAGTTCCATGTCAGCATAGAATTAAAAAAGTCATCTGTTCAATGCGTCATAGATCTGTCTTATGTACAGTTAAGTCTATAGTGTCATAAGAAGCAAAGTGCATGCAAGAGGTGTTACACACTTGTTTTAGCAAAGTAGAAAATTAGGTTATATTGAAATGAGAAAGTGCAAAAAATCTAGAATTATTGTTTCATGCCCCAAACACTAAGGAGCTATTGATTTTTTTTTTGGGGGGTGTGTGTGTGCTGGAAGTGGAACTGTCTACTAAAAGAAATTTTACATTAGGTACTCAGCAGGCAAATGTCTTTCTGTAGATAATGCTTAAAGAGAAAGTACTTAAGCTATTTGTTTAGAGATTAATTGGATCTATTTTGAGGGGTTCAATATATTGTTTCTCCACGTCTTCCTTAAATATTGATTCCTCCTTTAGGGCTCCTGTCCTGGTTGCACTTGCTCTCATTGAATGTGGAATGAAGTACGAAGATGCAGTTCAGTTTATCAGGCAGTAAGTTGAACTTCCCCATTCTCAAGAAATCTCTCACTTTATGTTGTATTTGAACAGCATGTGTCTTCAGCAAAGCTTGTTAGGTTCCTGATGTGTTTTCTAGTAGCTATACCCTGACAATCATGGGTGTGACTTTGACATTAATGCTGAGGCTTGTGCACTCTCCTCTGTTTAGAGATGAGGATTAAAAGGTGATCGGTCTTTTTTTTTTTTTTTAAATCTGGGCTAATATATTAACATTGACCTAAGACTCAAAAATACTGAACTTGGGGAGAAAAATTGTCTAGGCTGGGGCTGTAAAAATTGTGGATGGACATGGGCTAATTGTTCCTAGTTAAAAAAAAAAATTCTAGTTGGGCTCCCAAGCAGAATTTCTGCAGCAAGTAGGTGAGCACCAGCACTCCTGCAGGTGTTGTGGGTGAGTGCATTATCCACCCAGGAGATGTCAGAAACCACCTGTCTGGAAAATAACAAAACTGGTGAAGGAAGAGACTGCAGAGCTCTGTTGGTTTAGTGATAACATCAGATCTTGAAATGAAGCCCAGCAGGTAAGATTATATTGAATGAGCTTTGCCAAAAAAAAAGCAATTCGTCTTTTTATAGATTCCCAGGGTCTTCAGTTATCTTTGTAAACTGTGGTGCTGTCAACAGATCTTTCTGAATTTTACTTTAAGTTCCTTTTTTCTCTTCCTGGGTACAGTACCTTTTATACCAAGAAGCTCTTTTCTGAGAACCTCTTGTATATTTGTATCTAAATGTCATGGTCTTAGTTAGCTAATATAATAAGTAGCACGTGCATCTGCAAGGAAAGGACAACCTTGATGTTGTTCAGTGACTACTACTGGTGATGGAAATAAACTCTCCCAATCCAAGTAAATATGCTGAAATTTGCTAACTGGATTTTGATTTTAATATTGGCGCATGGGTGATGAACTGCATGTGCTGGCCTGCTTTATCCTTCCTCAAAGTGTCAATGGATATGGAACCAAGCCAAAATGCTGTTTTGTAGATACAGAAAATCTTTGAACTGAGGACTAATCTGCTTTAGAATGCATATGGTGATCGCAGCAGTACTTTTTCCATTGATATTAGCCTTCATTCTCTTCATTTTAGGAAAAGGAGGGGAGCTTTCAATTCCAAACAGCTGCTTTACCTTGAGAAATACCGACCTAAGATGCGATTACGCTTCAAAGATGCCAACGGTCACTGCTGTGTTCAATAAAAAAAAAATCTCAAACGAAGGCAGAAGTTAGCATGGCTGTTTTCTGGACTCTTGGCACCTGGAAATGTGAATCTGGAATCAAACTACGTCATCAAATTAGTGGTGGAGTCAGTGCTCCTCAACCTCTGTCCTAATGGTGGTGATGATGATTGAAAAAAAAATAAAAATAAAAAAAAATTGAGAGAAACATTTCAGTGAAGGATTGTTTTCTCCTTAAGCTGCAGTTTGAACATCTGCAAGGAGAAAATCAGTTTCTGAACCTTCTGTATTTTTAACTTTTTAAGAAAAGAAATAAAGTAAATTTTATGTCTAAGGAAAACCAGCAGAGCATTGGCTTGTGCAGAAACTATTTTCTTAATTTGAGAAAGTACCCCACAGTTAAGGCCCAATACATAAATTCATATGGGACTCTTTTAAATGGAGTTGTCTGGGTTTGTTTTTTTTTTTAAACCTTGCTGGGACCTGGCAGAGAGATATGAGGAGGAGCCTTTGTTGCTGTATGGGAGCAGTTTGACAGCCTTAAGCCCAACCTGGGCATATTCTAGAGATTCAGTGATGTCTGTGTTGTATGTTTACATGGTGTCATGACTCCGCAGGTGTGAAAAAACTTCCTGGTGGGCTTTAACAGGAGACTCACTGCCTAATATCTTCGGTGAATCTGCTAAAGGCCTTTCCTGGTTGGTGGGAGGTAGTGATTTTAACTGTGTGAGTGTGTGTGTGTGTATGCATGTCTGTGTGATTTTATGTGTGTATGTCAGTCTTATTTTTCCAAAGAATTTGGTTGAAATGTTAATTGTCTTTCTGTTGCTGGATAGAAAAATCTATCCCGGCGGAAGACTGATGTTCAAAAGTGTCCTAGGTGAGGAAGGGGCAATTCAGACAAGGACTTAAAATTAATTTTATCTGTCATAAGGAAGAAAAGGCTTTTTGCTGCTGTCCAGATTCCCTGCCTTGCTGAACACAGTAAATCAGGATTTGGGGGGAGGGTCTCATTTGTATCATATGAGGTATAGCTGGTACGCACACAGAAATGTGGTCCATGAATAAATGCCTAGGAGGGGTATTTTCCCAGACCAGCCCTCATGTACAGTTCAGTTTTAACCACCAATTGCCTTGTTATTTTTTTATTAGGCTCTTTTAGAGGGAGAATCTCGAGTTACACACCAGCATGCCTCTTGCGTATTCACCGTTGGCAGACCACAAATACGCTGATTTCTGGAGCGTGGACTGGCGCCATGTTCTCTTTGTAGGGCCATTGGTGTTGTCAGCGAATTAATCAAGACAAGTCACTTTGCAACCTCTAATAAGCAGTTTCAGCCAGGCTACTTCTACCAAACCTGTCCTAACTTCACACCCTGCCCCAGTAGTGACCTCGTATGCTTTCAACTTGACGTTATGTCTGTAATCTTCGGCCGTTGAAGGCTTTGAATACAGTTTTAGTGTCATATTCTCCTGTGATTGTTTGCTGTGGAGCACCAAAGGCTTTTGTTGGTCTATGCCTGTTGTGGTTGTAGACCAGTGCCCATCTTTTACCGATACCTCAGCTGCTGGCGATGCGAACTGCCTTTGCAGGATTTCTTCCTGTTCTAGACTTCTGCTTTTAGTTTGCAGCTTAACTGCATGAATATTTTCAGAACACAGGTAATGGACTTTTAGAATTCTATTCCTGGAAAGGATTTATAAATTTAAGCAAAAAATAATGGTACTTGTCAAGCCCCTCATTTACAGATACGCCACCAGACCTGTTTGAGGTCAGTGGCCGGAAAACACTGCGCTCCACAAAACTCAGTCTGTAGCCTGACTTAAGCTGTATTGTTGTACTGAGTTCCTTCCTCCCTTTAAGATGTGTAATGTTTCTGATTTCCTTAATAGATAAAGGAGATGCGAAAGTGTTTGTGATGTCAGTGCCTACAGTAGGGAAATAACGTATCTGGTAATGTTTGAGTTCACGTGGAAGGTAGATGATGCTGAAATGACCTAATTCTGGCCTTTACCTTCCCCTCGCAAACTAGAAGCCTAATGTTCTAACTGTTTCTGCAAATTGAAATGGATGTGTTTTAGTAAAATGAAATACTGGTCCTTAAAGCTGATTTGACAAATGATGGAAGTCAGGTTGGAGGGGAAGGTGTTGAGCTGGATTAAAAACCAAACCCCAAGCCCTTCTGAAGAACAATAAAACAAAAATTTACATGCTATATGTATAACTTTGCATTCTTCCCCCTAGTTTTACTCTTGATTTATAATGTACTAATTATCATATACTATGACTGCAGCCTTAATTGAGGAAAAGTAGTGAAAAGTGCAGACTGTCACACAGTGCAGCCACAAACGGGGGGTGTAATTGTGACCGATGTCCAGCAGGCACAATACTTGGTTCGGCACTTGAACGTAGTGCAATAAAGTTCTTGCAGTAAAATGTCTTCCCTCTGGCTCTTGATGAATTTATTGCAGCTCATTAATGTTAAATGCTCTTCTTTAATCTGATTTGTAAAGGCCTTTGGACAAGTTTGTCCATGCCCCTTGTAGAACTAATCACGGCTGGGTACTGCGTGGCTTGGGTTTGCCTTGGGAAAGGCTCTTGTACCTTTGAGAAGAGTGCTGCAGACAGGAATGGTTCTCTTCCTTTCAAATTACCTGTTTAAAAACCTGTAAACTTACCTTGAAACAAACAAAACCACCCCCCCAAACCAAACAACAGCTCTGACCTTTCCCAAGAACTGTCAAAGATCTGTTGCAAAACTGCTGTCCCCAGGACAGGAGCGGACACTGTGCCACCTGGCAGAGCTTGAACAGGGGCATTGTTCTGGGTAACAACGAGTTTCTAGAGCCCTGGATCCCAGACAGTTCCCCTGCCTTCCTAGTGGAGTGGCACTGCCTTCATCTAATGTATTTCAATAATACTAAGGTGCTGTTTTCTGGGCTTCACAGAAAACGATCCAATCAGCTTTGCTTTGCTGCCATCAAAGAAATATGTTACTTGCAAATTGGTATCGTGTTTCTAATATTTATCAGATTTTTCCAGCTAGTGTACTAGAACAAATTTTTAGTCCCTGTTGGCAATGAGATAATAAACCACTTTGTGAGACTGGCAGCAGTAACTGTGAAGTTCGATCTCCTCTTTGTATTTGTATAGGTTTTTTGGTGGTTTTTTGTTTTTTAAACACCAAAAATCTTGCTTTCTTTGTTTTTCAAGGTTTCTACCTTTTCAGTTACCGTGCACGAAAGTGGAATGTCTTGCTAATCAAAGGCTACTCAGTATAAAAAATATCACACACGTTATTAGAGCCAAGATAGTCCCATATGATAGAGTTACTTGTTTTTCCTGTTAATTTTTTTTCCCCACTAATGTCTAGGTGGCTTCAGATCCTGACACTTTAACTGGAGATAACACTTAATCACATGCATATTTATATCACTTCAGATGCTACTTTTGGAGCAATTAATGACAAGCAGAGTGGAGTGACTCTGCACAGGGAAAGAAACTGCAGGAATCATGGTTGGCACTTCTATAATAGTGTGTTCTTTTAACTAAAAAAATATAAATCATTTAACTTGGTCTTAACTCTTGCAGATTGCTTCCAGAGAACATTCTAGGTATGTGTTTCTTGGGGGAAGAATAGCTTTTGGTCAGTAACCAGATCAGAAGTAAAATGTCAGGGTCACTGTCAAACCTGTCGCTTCCAGATTTGTGTAGTGTCGCCACTCCAGACAGCGATGTTCACCTGTGGGTGAGGTGGCCAGAGCCCTGCTCTGGGTTGTGACATCCTTAAGGAAGGAAGGAGATGACAAGGAACCCTGTCTAGAGCTGGATTTATGTGATTAAGTCCCAAAGGGACGTAACAGGTAATGCTTTTCACAGCTTTATCTGGAACACCTTTCATTTTAGGCTGCCCAAGGGCTGCGCAGACATCGTTACCTGGATAATCCTATGTTTAATCATTTATATCCCCGTTTTGCAAAACGCAAAACCAGTGGAACTAAATCTTAGGACCTTCCCTTGTTCTGACTGCTTGTTTCATCAGAACTTAAATCGCCATCGTCAGTGAATGAAGTGATGTAAGTGGTGTCTTGTTTTTCATGCCGTGTATTTAGTCTAGATCTTGCTACTACCGACTGGTGGGACAACATCAAAGAGAAAACTAGGCTATTGCGGGAAGTTCCTGGCTAGCTGACCAAGTGGTTGGCACACCCAGGACAGGAGCTCTCCTTCCTGGGCTTTTGCGCTTCTCCTTGGCCCACCGAGCAGGTCCTCGTTCCAGGGATGAGGCTGGTACCAGGTAACTGAGCACCCGAGCTCTTTGTGGGGATGGTGGTGTGGCTGGCAAGGGGCTTGTTTCTTGGAGAAACAGCTGCGGGTGAGATTCAGAGGCTGCTAGAGAAGCTGCTTTATCTTGGCAGTGGCTGCAGTGATACTGGCAGGATAGCTGGAATTTGAGGTGGCTATGTCTGTGCCCTTTCTTACAGGGCTTAACTCTGTAGATGGAGACAAACGAGGGACACCACGAGCCAACGCCAGAGGAAAATCCCTGATCCAGATCTGTGGATGGATTAGAAGAGCTCGAGGAGGGAAGGCAACCAGGTAAGGAATCACCGCTTCTCCATCCAGCAAGGGAAACCAAAAGCACCGAGTAATAACGTGACTCCTTTAGAGCTGCACAGAGTCAACCGAGGGAGCGAATCTTGTCCCAGGATGTGGGACATCCTCTGTGGTTCCTGAAGCTGCTTTGCTGGGAAGCAGGGCTGGATGCTGAGGGCTGGAGTCCTTCACTGGCACAATTCTCTGGCTGACAAGCACCCTGAGGGGATGCGCATGCAGTCGGTTGGAGGATAGGATGTTGTGAAAGGCCCCCTGCTCCCGGCAAAGCAGGGAGGCTGGGGCTACTAACATCTGTGGTATTTTGCAGAGAATGGAGAGCACAGCGTGAACCCTTGGCTGAAATAATATTCAGAAAGCCCTTGGGTTGTCTTTGGCAAGGCCGTGCGTGTGGAGCTTGTGACCTTCCTGGGCTACTGTTTTGTTTCTGGTTTTTATTGTCCTTGTTGCTATCCAGAGGGCTGTTGGATCGTTAGCGTGCTGGGTGGCAGGGTCTTGCCGAGCTGGTTATTCCAATTGACTAGACTTAGTGCTTTGG